ATCAATCACCTAACTTGCTTTAACTTCATAGCCAGCTTTTCATGGAGAAAGTTTTGGATGCAGGCCTTGCCTTCTCCAAATAAGAGATTCTCACACAATGGAGTGGTGAAAGACTTTGGAAATTTGCTGCTAGTCAGAGGAGATCCAGTGTATCTAGATGTTTTGGAAGTTTAGCTAAACATGGTCAAGAGATTAGGGAAGTCCAGAGCATTAGGAGAAGATCTAGCTGGAGAAGAGACCACAATTCAGAAGAAGAGTACACATTTTTTGCACAGAAAACAAAGGATTTTCTATCAGCTATCATTAGATAATAAGATCTCCAATAGTGATGTTGACAAAGTTAGCTTCCTGATACCCTGAACATTTGTTGAGTTGAGTGGCCACCAAATTGCTCAGCACAAATCTGCTTTGTATACCCACAAACCTGAATAAATGAAACCACTAATTTGAATCAGTTGGATATAATGAGAACATCCCAATCACGGATAGAGCTTCCGTATCAACTAGTCCAAACTTTGGCTAATGCTACAGCATCCCCTGCTTAAAAGAACTCTAATAATAATAATAATAATAAAAAGATTTGAACATTTCCAAGTCAGCGTACTCTACAGTCAAACAATTGGAACTAGTGCCAATTCAAATACCAAACTCCAAAGTATTCCCAGCTGAGATTTAATTTGGAGCACTTCCTTTTCACATGTCATATCAAAACCAGCCCTTGATTTTATATAAACATTTTGCAACAGCTCCCCCCTTGCTGTCTTTATGGGGAAACATCAAAAGAGCTTCTAGTGATTTAATTCTCACTGAAGTATACTGCACACAAACAAAATTGTTTTTGATGTTGCCCTGAATGTATTTATTCATAATTTTAATTTAAGATCATTAGAACTAGCAATAGTCTAATTGCATGCCTGTAATTTACTTGTAACTATCATTACAAGGTTTTCTTCTCTGATCAATCATGGTGTTGCTTATTTTCAGAAAACTCTACAGGCAGAATATTATAAATACCATTACTTTGAGTGTTTAAACTGTAATATTTAGAAATAAGGTGCATTTTCAGAAATTGCACCAGAGTTAAAATTAGCAAATCTGGAGTAACTCATTAATCCAAATTTAGGATTAGGACTAGAGACTTTCTGGCTACTAAATTTATTTGAATTTGGAATACTTTGGAAAAGTAGGGGTGAACAAACACGTCCAATCTAACGTTGCTCAGTTTCAGGTTCCTCTGACCTTAAATGCATTTCATCCAACATCAGCATCCTTTTGCAAATGTGTTTAAAAATATCTGCATGAAAACTGAGAGACATTTTTTTAAAAATATACAGTCAATTCTCATTATTCGCAGTAGTTAATGTTCTATAAAGTTGCTACAAACCCTGCATTAGCGAATATTGAAACCTCAGCTGGGAACGTGCACGTTGGGCAACTCCAATTTTTCACTGCTCTGAATGTCCATGAATGACTGTGAAAGTGCTTCAAGAATTGATTTTGTGGTTACAAATAAATTTTACAGAGTAGGCAAATTTACCAATATGGAATCTGCAAATAACGAGAATCAGCTGTACATTTTTGCAGAGAATGAATTCTGATACCTTAAAAAGGTTATATATATATTTAAGGGGCTGTGACTCTCCTTTAGGGGCAGGTTTAACAGATACTTCACTTTTGGTTTTCTGGGAATAAAGGATGGCAAAGCGTATAAGACTACCAGCAGGTGCTTTGGGGCTGGGGGAAGCTTTTTAATTCAGGCCTCTTAAACATCAAGATCCCCTCCCCTTCTCTATCGTTTCGTGAGCCAAAGCTGCCAGGTATCTGACAAATTACAGAATAATACTTGCAGGCGTTTTTGATAGAGGTGCCATCTAGGTTGGGGAAGAAGGAAAGGTGATGAGATTTATTTCTCCAACTTTCTCTGCACGGTTGTCCTGCTCAAGGTGGAATGAAATCACTGAATGGATCAAGGATGGGAAAAGCAAGACCCTAACTTCCCTCTGTCAACAGCTGCCCCAAACTGGTTTATGCTTTTCTTCCATGAGGAACCGAGAACCCATAGTGCGGTAGTAGACTTAAAGGTCTTCTTAGAAGTGTGGACATTGCAGCCTTTCTGTCGTAAAAGGCCATGCCTTTTAAGATTGCGGCTCCTGGAACAGAGGACCACAATTTCATCAGGAACCCATGAGACCTGACCAACGAGAGTCTGCTTGTCCAGCCCCACCAAATCCTCCATCCATCAGTAGATCATAATTCGTTGACCGCACGCACTTGGAGGCACTATGCCATACCACAAGATTAGAGAGGGATCCATGTTTGCTGTGATGGAGAAATAATAGATATGTATTCAAGGACATATTTATGTATGTACTTAGTAGCAAAGAAACAAAAAAGAAGAAAAGGAAAAGGAAAGAAAAAGTCTACTAATCTGTCTGTTGTTGGAAGTGTACTGCACGGGGGGCGGGGGAAGAAAACTGTGTCTATTCTATCTGCCGGCTACAGAAAGCTCTTAAGAAAACCCCCTGTAGTTTCCTGGAGGTTGTTAGAATCACAGGTCATAGACAAGAAGAGATCCTGCCGTGCTCAGCAAATTGAATGCAATTTTAGTCATTTGAAAGCTTAAGTGGCCCTATGCACAAGTGGTAATCACAAGGAAAATGGAATTGTACATGCAAAAAAAAAAGGGGGGGAGGGGAAGAGTAGGAAAGCCCCCAAAACCCAGTTTAAACACACACGTGTACGTACCACCCCCCCCCACCATAAAAACAGTAAAAATTTGCCGATATACATCAGCTGAATGCAGCAACAGGAGGAGAAAATGTCAATTTCCATCGCTTTCCTGTGTGGCCTTTCAACCCACCCGACTGAACAATATTTCAGCTTTCTTTGATTGCCTGTTACCAAGGAAGGAGTGTCTGCGGTGTCTTTTATTTCTTTTTTTTTTTCATTTTTGCATTGTTGACAACACCCATTCATGCCAATCGCTCTTTTTTCTTCCAAGGAATTAAAAAAACAACAACACAGCGTTTCCTTTTTAAATACATCATGCATATGACACATGGGAAAAAGGACAAGGCAATTGTGGTTGCCAGAGACAACGGTCTCTCCCCAGTGTAACTGTTGAAGCAATCCTAAATAAAAGAGGAAGAGAAATGAGGACTGAATTAATTGAATTTACTTGCTGTTCGGTCGCCGACCATAAGAAAATAATATAGCTTGCTTCGGCTTTCAAGCTTCCAAGGGACACCCGCTAAGCTACATTCTGGGTTCATTCATAGAAAGTTGAGATTGTTTGGTTGGTTGTTGATTTAACACATTGCATTTCTGTCTCCTGGGATCTCAAGGCTCCATCTAGCTCTTTCCTCATTGTATTCCCATGACTTCAAACTAGGCTGAGAAAGGAATGGGCCAAAAATTGGCCCAAATGTTTGATACATGCAAAAAAAACCCCAAAAACCCAACAACACTACAAATTGGGATGTAACAATGTTGAAACTCAAACTAGAGTGCTTTGGCTCTTTCTGAAATTGCCTTAGGTAGTAAGACAACAGACCTGTAGGATGACCTGATATTTAGAGATAGACGACCGCTTTGCTTCGGCTCATGTTTAAATCGCTTTAATCTCACATTCTTTCCATCTAGTTTTGAAGATAAGTAGGTTTCATCCCTTTTAATTTGCTGGTACCCCTTGAATAAATGGAACTGCTTCCCTTTGCATGGGAAAGTTGGAGATTTCAGCCATTTCTAATTTTACTTAAGGGAAACACTTGACATTACTTCAATGTTTATGGCTTCTTCCCTAATTAAGAAAAGCAAGCATTTGATCGCAAAGGCCAAAGAGCCATTTCGGAAGAGAAGGGAAGTGTCAGAAACATCTGTCCTGCTAACATTTATTTCCTAGAAAAGATCCCCTTGCTGTGAAAAAAAAGGGGGATTTTAATCTGCAGGATGGCTGATTGTCCTGCATGATGTACTGATATGACGTTCGATATTAGTGATATTCCGCAGTCTACAAAAACCCAAGGCTTTGCAAAGAAGCTGTCACAACTGGTGCCACTTCACTCTGGAACTACACCTTCTTCCTAGTTATCTTCTCACATGCTTCTGCTGACTTTCCTGGTCTCATACCCTAAACCCAATCTTTAGCATCCCCCAGAAGGAAGAAATAAAGCATTGTGTTTCCTCTTGTTCATTGCCTTGCTTGCAGACTCGGAAAGGGCAGGCAAATAGCAAACAATAGAAGAAGAAACAGCAGGGTTGGGAAGCTCTAACATTAAAAACAGAACTCCTGCAGATAAAACATTACATCGCATTGGAATAAAGGAGCTATCTAAAGAAATTGAAAGTTGTGCAGTCTTGGGAGATCATTATTACTGGAACTTCCTTACAGTTAAAACATATCAGAGTATGCAAGACAGTTCAAACTCAAAAACAGCTTCACTGAATGTCCCAATCTCAAAATAAAACTTAAATGTTCTGGGAGTTGTATTTTGATACCAACCACCAGCAATATGTTCTGTTCTGTTAGAATCCAATTCAGTAGTTTCAAGAGAGGTTTCAAGTGGGGCTCTTTCCTTTCAAGCTTGAAATAAAACACATTTCCCATTTTGAACACACCTCTAAAATCCATTTCTGAGTTATTTGGCAAGAAACATATTTTTGTGTGCATGTGAACCACCACCACTACCACCAGGACATAATTCAACTTCAAAGAGTCAAAAGGATAATCTGAATTCTTTCAGTGAACAATATCCCCTATAATCAAGAAGGAAGGAAGGAAGGAAGGAAGGAAGGAAGGAAGGAAGGAAGGAAGGAAGGAAGGAAGGAAGGAAGGAAGGAAGGAAGGAAGACTTTCTTTATGTCTCTGTTGATATAAGTAAAAGTAGCTAGCATTTTGATTTTATGCAGTACCTTTTAATATTTCTAAACTCTTTGTTTTTATCTATATCAAATCCTCTCCTCTTATTTCTAAGAGGAGATTCTAGAAGTAGCTGGATTACCTGTTGGAGATCCTTCCATGACATGCCCAATGTATGGTCCTTCCCGGAAGATAGGCCTGTTGTCATTCTGATCAATGATAATAATATCAAAAGGGACTGGACCTTCTATGATCTTGCCAGAGACATCAGTGATCTCCACCTGCAGCTGTATAAACAGAAGAAACATAAAAGAAATCTGAGTCACATTGTTATCCCAACAAGGAGATGAAAAGGAGAGTTGACATCAGCATTCTTGTCATTAGGAGTCCCTGGCCACGTTAGCCCTTGAGATGGTGGGGAGAAAGGCAGGATGGTGGTGATCATCAGCATTGAAACACATTCATGCTGAGATCCCCATTGGGCACATTGCAATTGAATTGCCATATTTATTGGCGGGGGAGGGGAGAGAAACACAATTTGATGCTAATGAAGTGAATATTTGCTTACCATAAGTATTTTTCCTTCCTTTCTCCTTCAAGCATAATTATACTGAAGGGGAACATTCTGAACTACAAAATAAATTGCAAGCTAGGCCAACCCTGAACGCTGGGAAGCAGAAAAGAGATTGTTAGCCAGAAATAAACAAAACGAGATAGTTGTTCCAAATATAATTGTTTTATATTGCAATGTCTGATCTAATTTACCCCTTTGAGACACTTCCACAACAGCAGCTATGGGTCGGCATCCATAAGGACCTTACCAAAAATAACTTTCCATCAGTTCTAAGTAACCTAATGGAAGCAGATCTAATTTTACTTCCATGTAAATTCAACCCGTAATTAGTCGGCTTTGGCAGAATAATATTTTAATTCAAATAGAAGGCCTAGTTACATGATTTTGGAAGTGGAAAATTTATGAGGTGAGCAATGGGTGTCACAACAGTTTCTTCTTACCCTGAATAGATTGTGTCTTTGAAAAGAAGTCATTAGAATATTTTTCAGTAATTTCATTTTATGGTGCAAGAAGAAATAGTCAAGTGAAGTGATCCATAAACATTGGGATTCGTACAGAAAGCTCCAACAGTACATTATTTGTGAAAGAAAACAATATGTGTTGTATAAATCACAAATCTTCAATCTTATCTTGTCTGCGTGGAAGTACCATACTGAATTTAATAGAGATTACTTCTAGAATAACAGAACTCAAAAGTGGCTTCAAAGCTCCTCGTCTGATGATTTAAATTTCATTTATTGATATCAATAAGAAAAATCTTAAAAAACACACAATAAGAAGCAAACAAGAACAAAAACATAAAATGGCTGCCAAAGAAACCTTTGATTAATTGATTGATCCATCCATCCATCAAGTTGGTGTTGACTCTTAGCAACCACACAGATAGATTTTCTCCATGACGATTTGCCCCTGACTTGGTCTTTCAAGTCTTCCAATGATGCACTCATCACCACTTGCCACCACATGAGCCCATCTACTTGCTCTTGGTTTTCCACTTCTTCTCCTTCCTTCTACTTTTCCTAGCATTATAGGCTTCTCAAGGGAGCTGGGTCTTTGCACTGATCGACTGACTATGTGCCATGAAGTCATTGTTTATTCTTAGAAAGCACAGAGATAGACCTTCTCAAATCTCCAACCTGCCTCTTCGGGTCTTCCAACAGGCACCCATCGCCACTGTAACTGAGTCCCTACACCTTGCTGTGGGTCATCCTCTTCTTGTCTTTCTTTTCACCTTCCCCAGTGTTATACAGTTCTCAAGAGAGCTGGATCTTTGCATAATGTGTTCATACATGGACTTAGCTACTTTCCTGTGTCTAGTTTTAAGGAATCTAGCATTTTGTTGCACGGTTGACTCTCCCTGATCCCTACCAGAGGTATTTTGCAGAGTGCAGTTAAAAAGAATCAAGATGGCGGTCCAAAGATCCTTCCATTTGTTATGCGTGACATGGAACAAAACACTACAAACAAATGGTTTTGGAACACAACTTCCTGTAGTCTTCATCACCGCTACAAGAAAAGGGGGTGGGGGTGAGAGAATAACTTTGTACTAAGCCAGTTAGAAGAGAACCAGTTTAGCAACTCATTTTTATATTGCTGCAATTGTTTTTATTTCATCTTAATTTTGTTCACCACCCAGAGTCACTTGTTGAGATGTGCAGCTATAGAAATGGAATTAATAAATAAATAAACATGAAGACAATGACCTATATCATAGGGTATTAATGCTACCCAGCATGAAAATGAAATACAACTACTTTAAGAATTGCTGTAGATCCAATAATGCCTTCAAATCTTCCATGTTGAGCGTATCCACAAAGGTGAAGTGGATCGCAATGGACTGTACAAATAAGCCTTTCATCTTAACAAAAGAATTTGAATTCTGACCTAATTCTATCCCACTAAAGGTCTTGGAAACCTATAAATATGCATAAATATCAGGCACAGTGCAAAGGAATAAATTAACCGCATAAACCAAATGACGTGGAGCTCTTTCAAGCCCAACTTGCAATGGTGATGCAATTATATATCAAATTCCACGCTTTTCTGGACAGTGCAGGTCAGTTCACAACTCAACTCAAATGAAATGAAAAAGCACAAACAGGCACACTTCATTTATTGACTTGATCTAATGATCCAAATCCATTTGGAAAACAAAGCCAATTTGGTCTGACAAATGCATCACAATTCATAGAACCCCTTTTTGAATCAGTTAGTCTGTTCTGAGGAATCTGACGTGATTTTGACAACTTGATCCAACTTTCCAATTTGATCTGAAATAACAATTCAGTTTGAAAATATGATTTGGAGGTTGGAGGTTGGATTAAATCATTCCAAATGGAATCTCCAAAATCTGGTTTCCATCATCTGCTCCTTCTTCCATCCATTGCTTTTTAATTCACACTATTTTTCATTGGTTTTGGGCCACACATCTAGAATGGCTGATACACATTTGGTTCATGCCTTCATTTGGTGCCCTATTTTCCAGATCCCTGGGGTCTTTTCCAGAAGTCTGAATATCTACTGACATTAATCGGAAGGAGAATTTAAAGCTTGATTTGCTATATTCAGGGAAAATTGGAATTGT